CCTGACCTATGGCAACCTTAAGGCAACCCTGGGGGGTTTCTTGGCAAGATTTGTTCTGAGGAGGTTTGCCCTTGACTGCCTCTGAGGCTGAGAGAGTGTGACTTGCCCAAGGTCACCTGGTGGGCTTCCATGGCTGAGTGGGGATTCAAACTCTGATCTGTCCAACACTTAAGCCACTAACCATACTGGCTCTCAGAGATAGAGAGATAACTCTGGGAATTGAACCCTGGTCGCCAAAGTTTTAGTCCAACACTCAAACCACTATGCCACACTGCTCTCTATTGTATGCTGCTTCCCTCCCCAAAAAAACCAAAAAACTGGGACTCAATGCAATTAAACAAGTTAAATGTATGCAGTTAGAAACATACAGAAGTAAGCATTAAAGTCGAATTAAACTGTTGCAGTATTAAAATGCACGCAAAGGATAAAATGCAATTTTATTTTGACCTCTTGACCACACTCTGATGTTGCTTGGCCACATGCATCCTGGTTTTCATCTGTGAAATTTCGGCGGGGATGCGTTGTTTGTGCAATGAGATAGTGGCACCTCTTTATCATCTTCTCTTTCTCTCTATCACACACACACACACTTGCACATACAACCGGTTCAATTTTTGAGAGTGTGCATACCTGGCACACTCCATGCCCCGGAAGCTGCATCTTTCCCTGGGACTACATGGAAGGAGGATCCAGCGTGTCATAGTGGTTTGAGTGTTGGAGTACAACTCAAGAAAAGGATTTGAATCCGGCTCCTCCATGAAACCCACTGACCTGACCTTGGGCAAGTCACACCCTCTCAGCCTCAGAGGATGGTAGTGGCAAACCCCATCTGAAGAAACCTTTCCAAGAAAAACCCATGAATTTACTTAGGGTCACCGTAAGCTGGAAATGATGGGAAGGCACACAGCGACAAACATGGAAGGAAGGTATTGTGTGCATGACCTGATCAGGGACACTTGGCCAGGTTAGGCATCCTTCGCACTGAGGACACATGGCAAGTGCCATCCAGGTGTTCATGCTACGAAGTGGACCCTTATCAGGGATGCTGAGAGTCTCAGGGCTTCTGCTAGCTGCCCTCCGGACATGTTGGACTACAGCTCCCATCTTATTGCTGGCCGAGGATGATGGAGGCTGCAGTCCAACACACCTGGAGGGTTCCAGGCCCATAGAAGACAGTTCCGCAGCAACCATCAGAAGGTCTGTGGATCCACAGT